GAGTCGTTCGCAGAGTTGATGGTAGGAGCACAACCCCATTTGCCATTGTTACTTGAAGGCAATAAAAAAGACGAGTACTCATTGTTTACTTTAGGCGCGGATATGTTGACCACTAAGTTCGCTATGCCATACACTGCATTAGATTGTGAAATTAGGTTTCAGCAATTTAGGGGAAGGCATAGGTGATGCGGGAGATGATTACAAACTATGGTAGCAACTACTGCTGTGAGAGTGGGCTCATGTGGGGGCCAAAAGAAGCATGGAAGAGTGTCTTTACAGTACGTTTCGTGGTTATATTCCAAGCTATTCTTACTTTTCGACCTTGGTGCCCTACTGTGTAATTGACATTACTAATTTTTTGTAGGATGAACCTATTAGTCTAGCATACAAAACAATGGGAGACCCACAGTGGTCGAAGTTGCAGATCATTTTTGGTAAGGTACACAAGGACACGGTCCACCCGGATGTGGAAAGTGCTTCCAAACGCGTTATGACTATTGAGGAAGATGTTGATAGTTTGAAAGGAGAAAAACTACTCTTGTAAAGGCAAGTACTGCTATGTCGAGAAAATTGCATGTTATGTTTTCCTAACTAAATTGGAGACCTTGTTTAATCTAATTTGTGCTCCTCCAAATTGTATTGAGCTTGTCAATGTACTCCACTGTCACATTGTGACAATCTTCGTTCTTCCCGATAAATTTGTTTTAGTCAACCTGCTACCAACTGTTGCTTTGCAATCAATGTGCACCGAATAACCACACAAAGTTATGTGATATGACATTTCAATGCACGCCTATAGGTGGCTTTCAGATTTTCTACAAAGCTGAATTGATTCCAACATATGGATATGACAACTATATCGTGTGGCTTGTATCAACTCCTGCATTATTGTTGTCGATGCCATATCATTTCTATTTAAGCACCTCACTGCACTCAAAGGCATTCCACATTCGTAGAACCATAAACACAAACACTTGTGTTTCGATAAATAATTCGTTTGAAAGATCTAAACTTGCGATGGCTCCCAGTTTTGGTGTAGTGCAGGTCGACTATTTGTACGACCTACATTGGACCCCAAAGTTGGACAAGTTTTTAATCGAGTTTTTGCTTGACGAGAAGCGCGCTGGTTTGTTTGTTTCATTTGCAGCTAACAATAGCAGTATCGTCGATGCTATGAGGGAGATAAATATGTATTTTGAAACCAGTTTCACGTCGGATTATATAAACCAACATGTTGACAAATTAGGCAAAAGATACCATATATTCTCTCAACTTAAGCAAAAGGATGGGGTTAAATATGATAAGGCGAACAATGTTTACCAGGCGTCCGACAACAAGTGGCATCAGTTGGTAACGGTGAGTCTTCATAATGATGTTTTTCTCGCTTTATTACAATTTTGTTTCGGTTGCGAAGTCAAATAAAATTTCATTTGCATGTAGTGGGATGATTTTTCGCTAGCTTACATGGAGAAAGGCGATCCGCAGCATGACAAGATAGTGGAGTTGTTTCACATGGAGCCACCATACATACCTCCATTTGAGTATCATGTTTTGTCTGACAGCGACACCGAAGAACGTAGGAATGCAAAGAAGGGCCGCGACAAATGTGTTGACATTGTGGATGTCGAGACCTACAGTGCATATCCTCATCCAAAGAGTAAGTTGGTACCGTACCCTGTTCGAACTGACATCCCACGCAAAAAACAACCACCCCGTCCACCCTTTTATACGGGTAGTAGTTCAAAGGCCTCAAAACAAAAGCATTCAATACACAGTCAGACATAGTCAACTGATGGATCTGTCAATCAGTTACCAAAGTACCATTCATATGAGCCTCGAGCGGATGAAGTAGAAGCAACTTCTGCGTCCACTGCATGTTCTGCCACTCCAATAGATTATACGTCGGATTGGCCGATGTACTAGGTCCTTCATATCATGAATCCTTTACTTTTATGTTCGTACTCGTGTGTTAGTGACTGTTGTCCTATTTTAATGTTTATGTTTCTAAGCACCTTCTAACTTTCATATTTGTTTGCTCGTTAATGTCGTCTCGCTTCAATAATCGTTGGAGGTTCACTTCTATTATGCTTTGCATTTGCATCTGTAGTGTTTGTTTAGTATTACAAAGTCACTTTATGTGGTATGTGGTTTGTGTGTACCATGTTGATCTCCATCCTTGCTTGTGTTTGTTATGTTTTCCAAATCATGTGAAGATCCACGCAAATTTTCGATAAAAGTTGTTAAATGTGCTAATTCGCACAATTTCATAACACCGTCCACTACAAACTACAACAAATCCACTACATACTACAAATCCATGAAAAGTTTGCATCATCTGCCCAAAATGAACATTATCCCAAAATACCAAAAGGGCATAACCAAATCGTAGTGTCCATCAATACCCAACAAGATAAAGAAATCCAACAAAAAGAGTACAACATCCTTCACAAATCCACTACATTTTAACTTTGAATTTTATGATTTCCTCATGTGAGAGGAGACTGAAGGTGCAAACATCACCTACACCAATGTTGTTGTTGTCGATGAACTACCGAGCACGCCCATTCCGAATGAGTTTTTTTCCCATGACCGTGAATTATATCGACATCATACATGTTGTCGCCAAACCAAAACTGCGGAATTGTAGTTCACGTACCACCCTTGAATGAAACCCCTCCAAAACTGCATGGGGATTGCCTAAAATGAAATACACAATACAAAACCAGATGTTATACAATATGCAAAATCAACATTACAATTGAGGATATAAAATATACAATTCCTGTCAGTTACTATTCAACCGAACAACATACAAAACGTGCGCGCTCCACATGAGTTGGCTTAATTTCAAGAGTGAACTGCGGCTGCCTCTCGCATCCGTTAGGCTGCATCACCCACACTTGAAAGTCGAATATCGTCCTTGGATGGAAAACCAGGATGCATCCTATGGATATGTCTTCCGAATGAATGAACTCTCTCCACCCATCCACTAATGTTGGGCAGTTGTTTACCATAATCAAAGTCGTCTCGTACTTACGGCCCTCA